TTATTATGAAAATCAACACGTATTTATACATATTTCACATACATTATTATAGACAAGCGCAGTCATCTGATTGGTTGTTTATCAGAAGTTAGGCAGACAAACGCAGGCTTCTGATTGGTTGTTTCGGGATTCCTCGACAAATAGAGTTCTCTATCTGCGAATCATATTTTGCCACCTTAACTTTGCTGTGATTGGTTGTTGAATCAGCCTTGCTCATATTTTCTCACGGCCTGCTCTCACCACATTATGACTCAATATGGGTATGTAATTATGCTGAATAAATTTTAATAACGCTGATTTTATTTTTTCCTCTCAAAAATCTTTTGCTCCATAATTTTTTTTCAAAAAAAGGATTATATATCTAAAACTTGTAAAGAAATTCAAAAGTTTAGTTATATTTCCTCATTATTTTATAAATTTTTAATAGGAAAGTGAAATATATATTAGCATCTAACTTTATTTTATTGAATATCTTTGGCTACTACTTGGTTATTAAGTAGTCTGCACGTTACATCGAACTTTTTTAAGTGACCTTAACATATTATCGGTTAGAGAACCATTGGAAAACCTGCAGGAAGTACTGGATAGCTGCTTCGTCCTAGTTTGGTGCTCTTCATCAGTACGCACCCACCACTCAGCGTTCGTTCTCAGGATCTGTCCTGGTTACAGGACAAGCTAGTAGACCGTTAAACCACTGAGACCCGATCCAATGGTAAGTCAATGAACTCTAACTTCTGCCAATTCATGACATAGTCTCATCTTCAACCTGCTGTGGCCTGCTTGTTACGGCTTCCGGCTACAACTACAGGTTAACTGCCTGAATAGAGCTAGTTGCTAAAGAGCATCAGAATAACTTTCAAGTATTGGTTTTATGGGGAATTTTGTTTGATTGGTTGGAGGACTTCATCATGGGGCAGCCAATGTGAGAGGTGTATACAAACTGGTTGGGATGTTCGAGATGCTTAGAATCAATGTCTAGAGGCCATTGATCATAAGGATCAAAATCCTTTTTATGATCTCTCAAATCTATTAAATTCTCATTATTTCCATATAATTATATCAACTGGGGTAAATCTCTGTCTGTTGAAGTTTCTGTGCATTTATTTTCATCTCTACTTTTATGTGCTTTCATAAAATGTGAGAAATCGAACTACTGCACATGGATGGATATACAGTTCTGCTTGGAAAATTCAGTTCATTTCAGTTCCTATAGTCTGAAACTGGAGGTTGATTATTCTAGCTTAACGCTGTCATTGACATAAACTGAACTCATGTATTTATTCTAATGAGAATTTTGTTTTTTGCATTGTGAGTTTTTCAATTTTTTTCACTTTCTATAGTTTAAATGTTATTCAAGAAATATTTAATTCTAGATTAGAGTAAATTAAGGCGGCTAGTTCGAATCCTGATATGACTTAGATTTTCAGTATACTTGGAACTACTAAATCATTAAACTGGTAATATTGCGTAAATAAAAAAGGCTATCATAGAAGATCTCAGCATCAAGAATTGACGTGTGACAATAGATCAATAATACTATCCCTATCAACAATATTTTTTAGGGGATGCATAATTTAGTAAATTGTGAGATATACAATAAACTGATATAACATGAAACTTCTAATCCATTTTCACAATAGAGATTACCATCCAAAAGTAGATGTCGTGAACTAACATCAATTAGAGAATCAATGAAAACTAAGAAATGCAAACGATGATTTCATCCTAGCTAGGGTCTCTTCAGCAGTGCACACCGATGAAACCACCAGAAAGGGAATCCAAAATCCCTAAGTTACGAGGCTACTTGGGCTGAAATTTAATAACCAATCAGTTATAACTTCTGTCTAGCAACCAATGATACATATGAGCATCCAATTGATCTTAAGATAGTAAGTGAATGTAAGACTTTCTGCTCATAAGTTTATATATTCTTCGAAGGTACTCAATGTACTTTAATTATGAATTATGTAAAGGTCACATAAAAACATTTTCATATAATGTGTAAACTACTTAATAACCAAGTAGTAGCCAAAGATATCCAATAAAAATAAGGTTAGATACTAATGTTCATTTCACTTTCTTAGTAAAGATTTAATGAGGAAATGTAACTAAACCTTTGAATTTTTTTTCCGAATTCGGGATATTGAACATTCTTTCATTAAAAAATTACAAAGTAAGAGGTTTTTCAGCGGAAGAAATAAAATCAGAGTTATTAAAATGTATTAACGAGAAAAATATGACTGAACAGACCGAACAAAAGCTAACGGACACCCTCCGTAAGCTAAAAGCTGAATCTTTCATCAGCAACGAAACTTTCGAATCCCTAAGACCACTCGGCTCAAATATACCACAATTCTACGGACTTCGAAAGTACACAAGAAGGATATCCCTCTTCGACCGATCCTCGACATGACCAATTCGCCTCATTAACGCACAGCCCAATGGCTAGCAGATCTACTAGAACCAATCAGAAGATAAGTTTCCTGCCACACATTTCGAGATTCATTCGACTTTATCGATTCAATTGAAAACATCAGCGTATCCAACGGGACCATGTTCTCATTAGATGTCACATCACTATTCACAAATGTTCCACTGACTGAAACAATATGCTATATATGCGAACTTATTCATTCCAAAGAAATAAACATCGGTATGCTCACCGAGCGTCTTAAAGAACTCTTGCTGAGGTGTACCCTGAATGTTCAATTCTCTTTCAACAAAGAAATATATCGCCAAAGGGATGGTATAGCTATGGGCTCACCACTAGGCCCATTGCTTGCAGATTTCTTCATGGCAAAACTCGAAAACACATGCCTGAAGAAAATGATCGATACCTTCGAAATCTACAAGAGATACGTCGACGACACTTTCATTATCGTCAACAATGAAGAGAATCTAGACGACATCCTGAAGTCGTTTAACAACTGCCATCCTGCAATTCATTTCACGCTGGAGAAAGAATCCAACTCCAAAATATCCTTTCTTGACATCCAACTAACAAGACAAGAACAGGATGGAACACTGAAAAAGATCTATATAAAGGAAGTCAACATGGAACGGACAGCCTATTAACTTTCACAGTTGGGTACCCCTATACACCAAACGAAACCCGATCCGTTCACTCAGCTACAGAGTTCGCAGAATTTGCACCCCGGACACCGTAGACGATGATCTAGACAATCTCAAGAGAATCCTCGTTGAGAATTGTTACCCAGAAAGATTTATTGCAAAATCTATGAATCCTAGACCACAAAAACCGCCCATGCTTAGCGCCCCTAAAAAACTACTCTACATGAACCTTCAATTCAATGGAGATATATCTGTGGAAACACTAAAAATCGACTGTCGCACATACTCAAGAAGACCTTCTTCGCAGATGAACTACGACTAACCTTCTCCACAAAACCTATGATTCATGTGAACGTGAAGAATAAGCTACCACTGCTGGCCTCATCAATGTGTATTTATCAGTTCACCTGCTCGTGTGGAGACAGGTATGTCGGCCGTACCCAGCGTTCGCTTTCCAAGCGTATCACCGAATACTTACCAACATGGTTTTACAAAGGAGAAAAACGATGTCCCCGCAGCTCCATCTTAGAATATCTGATAGAATCCGGACACCAAGCTGCACCCCAAACAAACTTCAAAGTCGTCTACAGAGTAAGAAGTAGTCTTCCAAAAGGTGTACGAATCAGACTTCTTCAAACTGCAGAAGCAATGGCGATTCACTTGCTAAGCCCTGAACTCTGCATACAGAAGAGGTTCGTTCAATCACTAATATGCAATGGACGTAATCTAATGTATCGATAAGTAAATTCTATCCAATCTTTTTTCTGTCTCTTCATTAGTATTATTTTGTCTTCTCAATTGTAATATTTTACATTTTCAACCTTCTTGTTCTCTAGCCCCACCCGATTTAATTTCTGCACCTCACTACCACTGTTACTGACTTCACCAACGCTCAATTTCTAGTCATTTATGTTACGTCATCCAAATTAATTGCTCAATTTCAGCTTTAATTCCTAGAGAAACATAGGGCTTCAGCTGTGCATCTCTATTGCTTTCGGTTTTCTGCCAACTTCTTCACCCCGCTCCAAGTCTGCTCACATGCTTTCATCTCCTCTTCACATGACCTCCTCCAAGTCACCCTCGCACTGACCACCAACTCGCCACTTCCCATTCAATCGGGTTCCACTCGAGCGAGGGCTTGTCTAGTGATGTCATTTGATGGTTTGTTTCCTCAGCGTATGGCCAATCAATCTCCATTTCTTCCTGCCTATTTGCTTCACAATTGGTTCCTACTGGGTTGGTTCGCTCATTGCCAGAGATCTCTGTTGGTGATCTTTTCTGGCCAGCCATCTGATCTTGAGTATTGAGCGAAGACAACCGTTAATGAATGTCTGAAGTTTGTTTGAGATGCTCTTTATGACCCGCCAAGTCTCTGATCCGTAAAGTAGCACTGACTTCACATTGGAGTTGAAAATCTGGATCTTATTTTCATTTTCACGCTGAGTAATGTTGACCTCCACACAGACTTGAGAGTAATGAAAGCCTGTCTTGCTTTTCCGATTCTTGCTTTAATATCCTCGTCAGTTCCATCCGCCTGTAATTGAAACGATGCTTCCCACAAACTAGTACGAAGCAGTATTATCCAGTACTCCCTGGTTTTCAATAGTTTCTCTAAAAGAAGTCACTCTGTGGTCAATCTTCAAATCCAATGATTTGATAAAACTGTACAATGTCTATCAAATAATGTAGTTAAAAATACAGATATACTTACATGACATAAACAAAAATGTCTTCCTTGAATTATATTACATCTTCTTGTTCCAACTTTATCACAATATTTTTCACATATATTTTCAGTTGCACAATGACCTATATACAATGAGAAATTATTAAATTATAATATACTTTTAAATAATACATTTATCTTGTGTTTAGTTAAATATAAACTGTACAAAAATATTTATTAATTCATTTGGTCATATTTATAGCTTCTTGTTGACGATATAAAATGCCTAAAAATGGCTTAAACCAGTCTGAACAAATTTAAACCATCGGGCCAAGGCAGAATATTTAGTGAAATACGACTGGACAACCTTCAAGTCTGAATTTATACACTCAGTATAATTGGCTATCCATTAGCTCAACTTTCTGAGGTAGGTCATATGTGTGCATAATACATTTTTATACAATGAATTGAACTGTTCTCACTGACACGGATCAGTCATTTTTTATGATCCCAAGAGCCCACAAAAATAAAGGCAGTGATCTGAGTTAGTATAGAATCGACAAATCAGTTGTGTTATTACATCACCAGCAGAGATAACATTTGGTGACTGAAAGTAGAATCTAAGGGACGATTTTTGTCTTATCTGGGACTTTTCAGATGGACATTCCTACTCTCCAATGAACAATGCTGTTTCCATTGAGACTTAGATCCAGCACTTATCGCTTTAAACACTCAAGTCTTTATCTACAGGGCCATGAGAGCCATAGACATCTTGAATTCTTGTGCTGGTGGTCACCAAGGGGTAACACATATGGTTTGAAATAAGGCATTTCATATTTTTAATTTCCTATTGAAATATCTTAATTCAAACTGATCACGCATGTGGTCCGGGGTTTGATCCTTGGCCTAGAGGAGAGAGGACAAATCGCCACAAAATAATTTAAATGTAAGGAATGCGTTTATGACATACCCTAACAACGACACCGATTGTAGTGAAATACGCCATCGCAATATTCGCATACTTGACATTATATTATGAACTCGGTGAGATTTTTATGACGTATTTATTCGAACACTTTCAGAGTTCTCGCTAGTCTCTGAAATTAAATTATGCTTCATAGTCATTTCTAGACATCAGACTTATTGCGTAAGGAATGTTTCGTCTTTACTTGTCTGCAAGTGGCGCTAATTCACTTTGCTACGTCATGCTTTATGGTTGTAAGATATTGTCATCGAAAGAGGAATATATGAAAAGGTTAGATTTCTTTGATCACAAGTGTCTGCATCGCGTCCCACTTGTTAAGCTAGGGTCAAGATGAGAAGCCAGTCGATGAGGCTGTGAAGATGAATCGATTGAAATGCCTAGGACAAGAGTTGAGCATGCCAAGCTATCGCCTCCCTCGATGGTCAATCTTAGGTAACATAGGAGCAGGCTGGAAGAGAGCTATGGGTAGTCAAACCAAAATTTGGGATCAGTTTATGAAATCCTTGAGACAAGTAGAGAGGTGTAGATGGCCTCGTTGGGGTCCTCAGGGTACTAAGGGTCAATGAGTGGAGGTCTATGGAGTGATATTGCTCAAAATTGTTGTCAGTAGCGCAGATTGATTCACTCATTGCGATCCCCTATTCATCCTTCCTCAATATTCTGTTTATTATCCTCCTTTTGAATGTCTTCTTCCCTCTCTTGTGTCTATCTTTGTGTGCTGGATGGATCACGGAGGCTTTAGCTGCTTCATTTCTGTACAAAAATCTATGTTTAAACTCGGCCAGTCTGTTATTCTTGGAGGGAGCATATTTTGAACGTCTCAAATCATCAATCCCTAGTGAATATTTTGAATACTAAATATAGAGATATGATCATTTAAAATGATTGATATTTATGTCCAGAATTATTTACTATGGAATTTTATGTCTGAGCATTAATCTAATCAACATAATTGCTTAATTAATATATATCTTAATATATTAACTACAATGTGTGCAAGATTTGAAAATGTAAATTTACCGCCAATAATGTTTATCATTGAACATTTAATGTCTGAATCATTTTTTTGAATTCCAGATAACAAAAACAAAAATGTATCACTAAAATCTTTTATACAACAAATTGAAATCCTCTTTAATTAAATTAATTGAATATCGTTGTCATTCTGTCATAGAATAAAAACAATTTTCGCAGAAAAATTATCTAATGGTCTAGATTCCTTCATGCTATTTTTTTTATATTAGACATGACTCCCGTTGAGATAAAAAACAAAATGATTTCAAGGAAAGAATTCTGTTCCCATACTGATTTCATTTTCGTACCTGTACAATCGTAGCTAGATATGTGCGAAGCTCTATTCTAAAACACCTGATCGACTCTTGTCACTCTACCAACGCTGACCATGATTTTAAGATCATCCATCATCTACCGAATCCATGTTAACTTGCTGGCAGCGGAGGCCTTGACCACTCACCATATCTACTTGTCCCATTTGTCATTCTTTTTTTTATTTCTTTACGTTCCCTGTAGGACAGAGGACTTCAAGTTAGAGCTTTGAGGCTTCAGTAGCAGTGGTGCTTATTTTTACGGGGTAAAGTTGCGAGCCTCATGCCCATCCAACCTTTCCTCTTTACCAGTCTTATTACTAGCCTAATGAGGTAAAGGAGTGCACCGGTCGAGGATCGAATCCCAAACCACCTGGGTGGTTGGTGAGCATTCTACAAGCTGTACCACAGACGCTTGCCATTCTGTACACCTTATGAATTATTCTATATATGACAGCTATTATTTTTCTACTTGATCTTTAAATATGACTATAATTACAGATATTTTATTTGCATTTCATACTAATATTATTATTTCATGTATTCACACCTTTGATCTAATTCCCTCACGGGATGTAATTTCTTAAGAACCATATATATACGATTTTACAGCTTGATAATAAATTCGTTGGAAAGAGTCTCTTCGCTGAATATTGTAATCTTAATGCTACAATGGGAATTATTAAATTACAAATGAACTATGACAAACAATAACAACTGGCTTTGTTCTGTATTTGTATTAGCGTTAGAATTTGACAATAAGTGGAAATCCTAAAATACGATAATATTGGTGTAGGTGATCAAAAGTCACAAATGAATATAGGTCGAACTCAGAGGAAACTCGTTAATTTATCACTACACTTGATGTCTGTCAGCCCTTCCTTCAGGTTCTCCATGTTTTTGGTATTTGTTTATATGTATTTTGTGGTAATCATTTTTTTCGCACAGTATTAAAATTAACTCACTCCCACCCGCAATGAAACTTATATTCTGTTGACATGGCTTTAATGATTATTTGTATTAATATATTCGTGGATTTATAACTGTAGAGCCTAAAGAAGATTTTATTGAAAACAACTGTCCACTCAAAATCATCTTGTTCAGATATGAATGAATTAATAAATAAAGGTTCAGTAGATATCTGTAAAATAGAAGATCGGAAGATTAAGTGCTTTTGGAAGCGTGAAATGTTTAAACGCAATAATAAGGAAATTCTATTGCAGCGTGAATTTTCATTCAACCTGTAATCATTATTCGTCTGACTTACCGACTGAAGGAATGATTTTCGACGTGGAACTTTTTACAAGCAAAGGTAAAGAAAAGAAAGACCTTGACAAGGTTGTTGAGCCTGGGTATCTCAATGACCTGACGAGCTACGTTGTCTGGGACGAATTTTCATATAAGTGCTACCATGCCAGAAATGTTGACTGATTAACGGTTGGATTAAAGGCATCTACCGTCAGTGTAAGTCATTTACACTATGTTGAGAGTCCGTTAGCAGTTAGTGAATAGAGTTGTAACAGTAGTGAGGTGTGTCTCTCAGACGACCAACAAACCAGCATTGCTGTTCCTTCGATCTTGAGAGATGGGTTAGAATAGTTTGGCTTTGAAATTTGTACACCCCGATTTATCTCGTCGTGGTCCTTAACCAAAAACCAAACCAGAAAGTTGTTTCCTGGACTCTGCGGTAACACAGTACTAATGTTGCTTCTATTTCAGATATCAACCTCTACAGTGTAAGCAGTCAGGGGAGTAATAACCACTCACACACTTCCATAAATACTCAGGCTTCCCAGTCATAACCCACCTTCATTCATGAGATTGTTATCAGTCTCCCAACTGAAGAAACAAGTATTAGGTGGGAAATCACTAACTTATTTTACAACAGTAAATAAATGCCTACTTCTATTCCTCCTATTATTAAAAACGACACCACTACTACTGAATTCATCTACTGACCGAATATCTGACTGAATATCAGTGTCGAATGGCATGAAGAAATACAGCGGTTCAAGTTGAAATATTCAAAAGTCTGTCTGTCTGTTTTCGACGTGGACTTTGCACTGATGTGCGACAGTTCGAGTCGCCACACTCCATGTAACACACAAAGCAAAAGAAGAAAATAGAAGAAATGCATAATAGAGACAGTAAACAGGTGTGAGACAACGGAAAAGTAATAACGAAGAACAATATAGTTTCATTGGAAATCATAAGTCACAAGGAGTGGATGCATCTGCACCAGCCATTGAGAACGATTTTGGGCCATGTCCCCAATAGTATACAACCATTGGTTCTTACCATCCCGAAGACCCCAACTAGTTAGGAAGTCTACACCTTCCCACGTGGCTTAGACTTACAGTTGTGGATTTCATTTACTGGTGCCATGTTTTGGTTTGACCGCCACTAGCTCTTTTCCAACTTGGTCCTATTTCAGCTAGCATTGCCCATTGAGGAAGGCGATTACGTTACACATGTCCTAACTATCTCAGTCGATGTAATTTCAAAGCCTCGTCGATTAACTTTTCCCCCCTTACCTAGCACTCGACGCCTACCCTCAATATTGCCCACCCTATTAAACCACTTCACACTGGAGATAGAACGCAGGCACCTATGACCAAAGACACTAGTCAGCCTTTTCATATCTTCCGTTCTCAATGGCCAGGTCTCACAGCCATAAAGGAGGACGGAGCGGACTGATTAGCAGTACACAGGCCGTTTGATCGAAAGCCAGCTGGATATCACGTCTACTAAGCCAGAGACGGTGTAAACTGGCATATGCGTAACCAGCCCTCTGTATCCGTGCTGACATTTCGTCAGAGATCAACCCGTTGGGGATGATGGTGCTTCCCAAATAAGTGAAGCGGTCAACATTCTCTGCCACTTCACTCCGCATTTCCAAACTACGAGTCAGTGTGGCCCAGTCCTGTAACACCATCTTGCATTTGGTGGGAGCTAATCGCATGTCAAACATTCGTAGATTGCAGCTCAAGGTGTTCAAAAGACTCTGCATTTTGTCAGCATCCTCGCCTAGAAGGACTATATCGTGTGCATATTCTAATTCAACGAGATTGTTCTCTGGTAGCAAGTCAATCCCTGTGTCTCTGAAGTGAGTTAGGGTTAAGTCCATCAGTACATCTATGATGAAATTGAATAGAGATAGGGATAATGGGCATCCCTGACGCACACCACTAGTTGTCACCACTTCAGATGACAACTCGCCGTAAGCCCTCACCTGGCTGCTTGAGTTCGAGTAGAGTGCTTCAATCAGTGCAATGTATTTTCTCGGAATTCCCTTTACAGCCAGGCATCACCAGAATACCTGTTGGTCGACAGAATCGAATTCCGCCTTAAGATCAAGAAATACAATGGTTTTTGGACGCCGGTAGGAATGCCTATGTTCTAGAATCTGTCGAAGGGTGAAGATATGATCAATACACCCTCTTCCTGGTCTAAAGCCTGTCCGGCTCTCTCGTGTTTGTGCCTCCCGAGCAACACTTAGTCTACGCAATATTATTGAGCCTAGGACCTAAGATACTATATTAGTCAAGCTAATCCCTCTGTGATTATCACAGGAAGACTTTTCTCCCCTCTTGTATATCGGGATAATCAGTGACTTACACCAATCCGACGGGACTTCCTCTGATTCCCAGACGTTGCCTAGTACTTCGGTCAATGCAGGCAGTAAACTGTCTCCGTCGTACTTAAATACCTCTGGAGTCATTCCATCAGGTCCCGCTGCTTTGCCTAGTTTCAGATTGGTGACAGCTTTAGTAACCTCAGTTAGGGATGGAGTACCTGTGTCTATATCCCTTTCAGAGAGGTGTTGGATGTTCGGCAGGTTGAGCGTGGCTGTCGGCTAATTAAACTGCTCTTCATAGTGCTCTTTCCAGCGTTCCAGTCGTCTATCCTGAGAGCTAATTATGGTGCCAATTTTCTCCCAGATTGTTTCACTTATCATTAGCCTTTTACCACCTGCTTCCCTGATAAGCCTAAATAGTTGTCTGGTGTTGCCAATCACCGATGCCTTTTTCATCTCTTTCGCTTTTGTCACCCACCACTGTTCACGGTCGTTTCGAAGACTTCTTGTTAGTTTTTGTTTGAGTAGCTTTCGCTCCTCATCATAATCGAAGCTAGCCGGAATCAGTCTTCTTGCGTCAATGAGTTCGGATGAGGCGGTGGAGATCCAAAGGCTCTTACTAACTTTTGGTTTTAGCTTATTAACAACCTTTACAGCTGTGTCTACAGATAACTGTATGTTGTGCCAGGCTACCCCAGGGGAAGTCTTACTATCGATCTCAGACATTCGTTTCGCTATATCTTCCTTAAATATGGGCTCAGTGTCTCGATCTAGTTGGGGACGTAACTGTTTCACTGCCGTCAATTTCTTATGTCCGCTTAGTCGTCAACATAAACGTGATCAGAATCTACGCACGTGTTCCAGAAGAAGCGGCAGTCTTCTACTGACCCTCGCCAACGATACCCTATGGCTGTTTGGTCTAACTGAGTCCAGCGTTGATTTGGTGATGGAGGTCTCCAGGTCACACAATGTCTCTCTTTGTGCCTCAAGTTAGTGCTGACTAGGAAAAGATGATTATCTGAGCAAAACTGTAGAAGACGATCACCGTTTTCGGTTCGTCGGCAGGGTACTCCATAAGTACCACCTACATATTTCTCAGTCTGGCGCAACTTTCCTACTTGGGAGTTAAAGTCGCCTGCTAAAACAACTATATCTGAACGTTTTGCTTTTTGCAGCAAATTAGACAGTTTCAGGTAGAAGTCATCCTTTAGTTCATCCGAACTATGAAAAGCAACGACGGGTAGCGCCATCTTTCCTTCTTTTAATGGACCTATTCAAACGAACTCCACACATACGACTATCTACTGGGTTTCAGTCGAGAAGTGATTTTTCCGCCCTAACACTCAGCGCTATCCCTACACCTGCGAGTCCTCGCCAGCTAGCTGAGGGGTCCCCTGACACCCTTGAAGTGAATTTTGCAGATTCACCTTGTTGACCGGATGAGGTTAAATGAATGACCACACTCGGGCCTTGTATGCGTGTCTCCGAAACACAACATACATTCATGGTTCGACTTGCCAAAGTTTTTGCTAGTGATGCTTGTTGTCCGATTTGGCAGAGGGTCCTGACGTTGAATGCTCCTATATGAAGTTGATGACGTGGCTTTAAAAGGCTGTCTGGGGTGTTTCTATGGCTCTCACCGTTGTTCGTGGTCACAGAGTGAAATATTCAAAAGAAGTTTAATGAGCATAAATATGACGGAGAAAGAATATTACGATGAAAAAGCATAAGGGTTTAATGGAAATTAGAGATCGTAAAGAGGAAACTGCTTACTATCCATTTAGAGTGACCTTCTTAAGAAATGTTTCTAAGGAATGAACAAGTGCTGACTTGCAGAGATCCAGTTGGTTTCAAGAAGTACACAACAACAGTAGTGTTTTGTTTTGGTTTCAGCTTAATGCATCCATTACCCTACCAGGGATAGAACTTGGGAGCCGGGTAACATAACTGATATCCAGCTTG